AGGTGCAGTGAGAATATGCTCTCTTTGGGTATTTACCAAATATTGTTGATTCATTCAAGGGGAACTGGATCTTTACATGATTTATATGAGGCCAAATAGAAACTCTGACCCATATTCCTGGAGAAAAATAAGCATTAATTAATTTTTTCAGTAATTTTCTTCATAGTTCTAAAATAATTACTGTATTTTAAAATTCTCAAAAAATTAGAAAGTGAAGGCAACATAACCAACTTATAATTGAAGATTTTATTGGAACATAATGATTTATTTTGTTTATTGTTAGTGGACCTTCTCAAATTAAATGATTATTCCTAACACCTGTGTAATATAACAGCTAATAACAACACTTGATAGCAAGATGACATATCATGGAGTTTGTTCACACTGAGTTTTCCAGCACAGCATTTTCATTTGTCTTCAACTTGACATTTTTAAGACAAATTTTACTTTCTCTTGGGTCCTGCCCTATGTTATTTCATATAGATTGGATCTATATTTTGAATCATAAAAGAAGTGGATGGAGACAGAATATAGCAGATTTAATGCATGTTAATACCACTGTTCTTCATGTGAGAAAATTATCTCAGCAAAATTAACCATTAATTTTTCATTAGAATTATTTAGCACTTTAAAATATCCTTAAATTCTCTTGGAATGTATATGAAATATTAGAATGTAGAAATAAAATACTTTCTGAAATAAACACAATATTTTATTTCCTTGTACATTGTGAAAAAAAAAATCTAGTCCTCAAGCACATTTCCAGTTAGAGAATGTTTAATAAGGCACATAACATGTCAGCAGCTTTGAAACATCACTCACAAATGAACAGGCTATGGAATGAATTTAAAATATAAATAGTATACACAGAAACATTACGATATCCCATACTATGCCAAGTATTTGAATTGTAGGCTGTCAAATGACATAGGAGATTATATTACATGACTGAAAGAAACACTTTTGTATGTGATTATTAATTTTATGTGCCACTTTGACTGGGCTAAGGGATGCCCATATAGCTGGTAAAACATTTCCAGATGTATCTATGAGGGTTTTATTTTAAAGAGATTAGCATTCGTATCAGTAGATGAAGTACGGAAAATCCACCAACATCAATGCAGGCAGGTAACATCTAATCCATTGTGGGCCTCAATAGATTAAAAAGGCAGAGGAATTCTATCTCTTCCTGAGCTACAATGGTCATCTTTTCCAGTTCTAAAATACTGGCATTCCTCTTCTCTGGCCTGCAGATTCCAGGTCTTAATACAAGTGCCTCCTGTCTGCCTTCTTCAGTTTTCAAGCCTTTGGCCTCACACTGGGGTTCTCAGGCATTCAGACACAACCTGAATTATACCACTGGATTTCCTGATTCTCCAGCTTGCTGACAGAATATCATGGGACTTTGTGGCCTCTACAATCATGTTAGCCAATCTCCATAATAAATCCACTCTTTTATATTTATATATATCTATTGGTTCTGTTTCTCTGAAGAACTTTGAATAATACAATGTGTGAAATGTTGATTTACATAAAAGAGTCCACAATGTTTTGCCTTGCACCAGTTAACATTATTAATCTAGGAAAAGAAAAGCTTATATTAAGTGAGAATATTATAATTTTAATTGATGGTTAGTAATTATTTTGAAACAATGATTACCCTGAGGGGGGTTGTATTTGGATATCACAGAAGCAAATAAAATTAACAAGTGTCATTTCAGATTTACAACTTTTAAAAGTAGATATGAATTTGATTAATTTTTAAATTTTGAGTTAGTGTTATGCAAATATTGGTAACAAATTCTATAAGAGACTGTATTAGTCAGTTTTGCATTGCTATAAAGAAATCACCAAGGCTGGGTAAGCTATAAAGGAAACAGATTTATTTGGCTCACAGTTCTGCAAGTTGTACAAGCATGGCACCAGTCTCTTCTTGGCTACTGATGAGGCCTCAGAAATCTTTTATTCATGGTGGAAGACAAAGAAGGAGCAGGCATGTCACATGGTGAGAGAAAGCGAGCAAGAGAGAAAAAAGGAGGTGCTAGGCTTCTTTAAACAAGCAGCTCTCATGTGAACTCACAGAGCAAGAACTCACTGATTACCATGAGGATGATGCCAAGCCCTTTATTAGGGATCTTCCCCAATCATCCAAATACCCATCACCAGTCCCCACCTCTAACATTGAGGATCACCCTTCAACCTGAGATTTGGAGGGAACAAACTTCCAAACTATATCATTCTGTCCCTGGTCTCTGAAATCTCATGTCCTTCTCACACTGTAATACATAATCACCCTTTCCCAACAGTCCCCTGGTCTTAACTCATTCTAGCATAAACTCAAAAGTCCAAAGTTCAAAGTTTCATCTAAGACTTGAGACACATTTATTCCACCTATAAGCCTGTAAGATCAAAAACAAGGTATTAATTTCCAAGATACAATGCTAGTGAAGGCATCAGGGAAACATTTCCATTCCAAAAGAGAGAAATAATCCAAAAGATAGGGGGAACATTCCCCATGTATGTTTGAAGCCCCAAAGAGCAGGTATTACAATTTTAAACCTCCAAAATCATTTCCTTTGACTCTATGTCTCATATTCTGCACACACTGGTGCAAGGGGTGGGTTCCCAAGGTGTTGGGAAGCTCCACCACTGCAGCTTTGCTGAATGAAGTCCATGTGGCTTCTTTCATGGGTTGGTGTTAAATGCCTATAGCTTTTCCAGGCTCACAGTACAAGCTGCCCATGGCTCTACCATTCTCAGGTCTGGATGGTGGCAGCCCACTTCTTACAGCTCAGTAGACAGTGCCCTGATGGGGACTTTGTGTGGTCGCTCCAATCCAAATTTCCTTTTGGCACTTCCATTGTAGAGGCTCTCTGTGGGGCCTCTGCCCCTGCAGGAGCCTTCTCCCTAGGCATCTAGGCTTTCTGATACACCCTCAATCTAGGTAGAATCTAGCAAGCTTCCTTCACTCTTGCATTTTGTACACCTGCAGACCCAACTCCATGTGGAAATCACAAAATCTTACAGCTTACATTCTCTGGAGCAGTATTCCATACTGTATCCGAGGCTCTTTGAGCCCAGGCTGGAGCTGCTCAGATTCTGAGAGCAGCATTTTGAGGTGGCACAGGGCAGCAGTACCTTGTGCCTGGCCCTATAAACCATTCTTTCCTTCTAGGTATCTGGGTCTGTGATGGGAGGAACTGTCTCCAAGATTTCTGAAATGCATCTGAGGACTTTCTCCCATTATCTTGAATATTAGCACTTGTCTCCCTTTTAGTCAAGCTAATCTCTTTAGCAAGTTGTTGCTTCACAACTCATTTGAATTCCTCCCCTAAAAATGCACTTTCCTTTTCTGCCACGAGTGGCAGAGAAAAATGTTCTGCTTCCTTTTCAATTATAAGTTCCAACTTTAAGTCATTTTTTATGCTCATATATGATTGGAGGTTGTTGGAAGCAGCCACATCACTTCTTGAATGTTTTGCTGCTTAGAAATTTCTTCTGCCAGATATCCTAGGTCACCACTCTTAAGTTTAACCTTCCAAAATCTTTAGGGCATGGACACAATGCAGCCAAGATTTTTGCTAAGGCATAACAAGAATAACTTTTATTCCATTTTCCAATAGATTACTTGTTTCTGTCAAAGGCCTCATAAGCCTGGCCTTCACTATCCATCTTTCTGTCAGTATTTTGGTCACAACCATTTAGCCAGTACTAAGAAGTTTCAAACTTTCCCTCATCTGCTGTCTTCTTCTGATACTTTCAAGGTCTTCCAACCTCGGCTTGCTTCCCAGTTCCAAAGTTGCTTCCTTTTTTCATGTATCTTTATGGCAATGCCCCACATCTGTATTAGGCAGTTTTGTGTTGTCATTAATGAATACCTGAGGCTGGGTAATTTATAAAGAAAGTAAGTTTATTTGGCTCAGTTTTCCAGGGTCAACATGCATGGCAACAACATCTGCTTGGCTTCTGGTGAGGAATCAGGAAGCTTTTATTCATGGTGGAAGATAGAAGGAGAGCAGGTATGTCATATGGTGAGAGAATGAGCAAGAGAGAGATACCAGGCTCTTTTGAACATCCAGCTCTTTCACAGCTAATAGAGTGAGAATTCACTCATTACCCAACGAGGACACTAGGCCATTCAGAAGGGATCCGTCCCCTTGACCCAAAACCTCTCATTAGGCTCCACCTCCAACATTAAGGATGGCATTTCAACATGAGATTTGGAAAGGACAAACATCCAAATCATGTCAGAGACATAAAAAGTAATTGAAATTCAGGATCATAGTATTCAGTCAAATCACACACAGTTTATCATAAAAATCTTTCAATTCAGTTTGTTCAAGCATACCTCTTACCCATAGTAATTTCTACAAATGTCTCTGCTTTCATCCTGTATTGCCAGTTTTATTGTACATGCTGTAATTTTCTTTAATATCCTACTATGTTACAACTTATTCGCTTCTATTCACTTCTCCTTCATACTCAATTGCATTTCCTATTTGAGTATTTATGGTATTTGGAGGGCCAAACATAGGTGGCTGCATTATTACTCTGTTATTACTAGAGCTCTAAATTTTTAGATAAAGTTTTAAATACTGCCAGCCTTAGATTTTCATATATGCTTGATCTTAATTGAACATTGAGGATGTTACATACTTGACCTGAACCAGAAATATAAAAAGCAATAACCTTAGAAATGAAAGCCAGAAGGTGTCCCAGAAAAGAAGGGACTGTTGCTATTAATGGTAACCTGGGAATTGGCAGAGATTTTAGTAATTTCAAAACAAAGTGTTTTGAAATACTGCTAATATAGCCTAATACCAGCACAATTAATTAAGAATATGATATTATAAAAGGGCTGTGTATAGCTATGTTGTCTTTGTACATAACATACATACACACACTCACTTGAGTATCCCAATTTGTCTGTGAAATAGATCTGCTCTTTTAAAACTCTTATCCAATGAAATGGTATAACAGAAAGGTATTTATGCACTTACCAAATAGGTCCTTATCTTCAATGATTGCCATCTCAACCTCTTTTTTGGTAATTATTGTGCATGTGAAAGGAACTTGAAGAAGGACGCTAATCTCACCAAAGGATTCCTTCTCCTTAAGTTTACCCATATAAACAAGTCTTCTAGCTTTTTTCTGTAAAAAAGAACATATATATATATATATATATATATATATATATATATATAATTGATGTTTAATGCAATTGCTTTCAGGTAATGAATCAGTATTTTTATCAGAAACTCACTAATAATTCATTTTACTATAAAATCTTTAAATTATCAATTTTATTCAAATTAGAGAAAAATTTACTTATATATATGTTTCAGTTATATTAGAGCAATAGAAAATTCATAGGCAACTTAGGAATATCTAAGGTAATTGAAAGCATTGTCATTTAGAATCCACAAAGATGTTTGGGAAATACTGAACCAATTCCACTTTTGAAGGATCTAGGATATCATTTTGTGAGCATAGTTTCCTGTAGGGAGTTTTGTCAACTGCCATTTTTTACCTCAGCCCCGGTCACAAGGCATTCTTGTTGAACCCACCAAGAAGAAGGAAAATAAGCTGAAAAGGCCAGGACCAGAACTGATGGGATAAAATACAAGAGGAGGGACTATTCCCTGTCTTTTCTGTTTAAGTACAAAAGAAACATATGGACAATGTGTTTGACTAGAATTTTGATTCAAATAAGAGACCTTGTGGAGAAGGGCCTACAGGAGTTTCAGTATGAATGATTCTGGAGAAAATGTTGAGACTTCAAATTACCTTTGCTGGGAGGTTTGCTAGGAGTTGGTGTGCACTAAGATATATTAAAAGAGAATGTAGCCCTCAGGGTAGGAGAGTGACAAGAATTTGGAAGAGGCGAATTCCTTTACTAAGTATCCTGGAGTCAAATCCAATATAACTTGAATATGTGCACCAATAAAAATGGCAAAATTTACACTGAATATGACTAGTGCAGCAGAATTCAAGTTAGTTTACATATTTAATTGAATTTCATTGAAGACTGACCAACTAATGATTAGTTCTAACTTTTCTATCACAATAATTACGTATTGTTGCCAATTCTAGAACTTCGTAAAAATGGAATTATATAGAATGTGCTCATTTGGGTTTGGCATTTTGGCCCAACATAATGTTTGAGATCCTTAGACGTATCCATAATTATTTTTACCACTGTGTGGCACTTTATAGTATAAATATACCATAACATTTCTATACATTCAACTGTCAGTGCACATTTGGATTACTTCCAGTTTTTAGTTTGTAAGAATTCATATAGTCTTTGTGTATACATATGTTTTCACTTCTCTGGAGAAAATTTATCTAAAGTGGAATTAGGTCAATTGATTAAGTGCATCTTAGCCAATCTGATATATTTGTAATAGTGTCTGGCTATGGTTTTAATTTGCATTTCTCTGATGCATAAGAATGTAGAGCATATTTTACTGTATTCATTGGTCATTTGTATATCTTACAAATCAATATATCTTACAACTTATATTCTTATATCTTAAAACTAAACAAAATAAACACAAAAATTTCAAAAAATTAAATAGAAATTTCACAAAGTGATACAAATAAATGTCCAGTAAATACATGAGAGATGTTTAACACTCTTAATTCTTTAGATTAATTGATTACAAAGAATGCATAAGTTGAAAACTTACCACTTTATTTGACTGTAGTTTCACAAATCCTATAATACTTCTGTAAATGTTACAGCATCCAGAGTTAATATAACCCACAAAAGAAATTATATTTCCACTTTCCACTATCACTGAAAAGAAGAGAGAGAGTTCATTTCACACATTCTTGTGGTTAAGAAATTATTTTAGATATTTTAACAATAAAAGATAATGTATTTAATTCAATAACTATTAATGGTAAATTTCTTAATAGATTCCAGTTTATAGACAGTACTTACTTAACACAAGATTTAAAAAAAAAATATGCCCAGTATTTATATCTCTAACATAATACCTACAACATTGCAAACACTGACAAGAATTTGGCAGTAAAGGCATTGATGTGCTGGTAAACTGTGCAGTGGAGGAAGGAAAGAGGAATATGGAAGAAGCCTTGATATGTAGCATTTGCTGAGTTCCAAGGTTTAAATATTTCCACCATGGCTCATTTCAAATTTCTGATAGCTTAACAACAAACTTACAATATTGATAAATATTTGAAAATTGGTTCTCCAGAGCCTGTATCTTGGCCAACACTCTACTGATGACACTAGTAGATAGTAGTTAAAAGCAAGGGCTTTCAGGCCACATTGGCCCAGTTTGAACCTACTCAACTACTTCCTATGTCACCTTCGATAAATGACACAGCCCCTCCAAGCTTCAAATTTTTCATCTTTAAAACAGAAAAAATTAATTAAGAGTCCTTACTTTAAACTTGATATAATGCACATGGGCATATAAAGTACTTAGCATGTTATCTGGTATATAGTATAACACAGTAAATCATGTTATTACAATAATCAATGTTATTATTATTCTTTTAAATTTGTACAGTCACCCTAAGGCCAAGATATATTTGAAGGTGAACTCTATTATAGTTTTATAACTATCAATGTATTAAAATAAAAATCACTTGATCTACATAACATTTTAAATTATCAACATGATTTAAATACTTAATTGGCAACATATACATTAAAATTAGCATTTCAAATTATTTTCTACTTTATGAATTCTAAAACATATCAATACTTAATTCTGAAAATATTAAACACAGCAGTAGCAACCTAAATATAAAGATACATGTACAACTTTCTCATAATTTATAAAGTATATAGACTATTAAAAACAAGTTTTTTGAACACTTGAAGGTATTTCCATTTGTTTTCTAGCATAAAAGAGCATACATAAGCATGACAAAGATTATTGATATTATCAAAATAGTAAAGAAGTTAGAGCATAGCAGAGTGCTTTAAAAATTATGGTTAAAATAAGAACACAGTACCCCGTCTCTACTAAAAATACAAAAAATTAGCTGGGCATGGTGGCGCATGCCTGTAATCCCAGCTACTCGGGAGGCTGAGGCAGGGGAATTGCCTGAACCCAGGAAGCGGAGGTTGCGGTGAGCCGAGACCGCACCATTGCACTCCAGCCTGGGTAACAAGAGCGAAACTCCATCTATAAATAAATAAATAAATAAATAATAAGAACACAGTAACTATTGTTAAAAATAATTTACCACAAGCAAAAAATAAACATCATCAAAGAATGGAAAAAGTAATTCAGGATATTTTGAAGTGGGATTCAGTGATTTTTCTGGCCTGTTTATGAGGATAGTCTATCTTCTCCTCATGTAACAGTTAATTCAAAGTTTATAGTAAAAAATTAAATGGTTATTCGACTGTCGTCAATCATTTATTTTGTTTAAATAAAAATTTATGGTAATTCTTCTGTTGTCTTATGTTTTTTACAGCAGAAAATGACATTAAAATTGTCTTACCATGTAAATGATAACAAATGTGTAGAATTATGTGAAACATTTTCTCACAGATTTTTCTCTTAAAAGTAAGAGAAACTTCTCTATCAAAACATATGAGAGTAGAAACTATATACCTTCTTTTAGCCAATCAGTGAGGATATAAAGAAAAACTGAGAGGCTTCTAACAATTTGTAGAGATAAGGAAATAATGCACTTAAACATGTGCTAAAGAAGTACGTTATTTTTAACAATCAGATCTGTACTACTATAGTTCTTGAAAGTCAAGCCCTATGTAGATCACAGAGAAGCATATGTAACACCAAAGAAGCACAGGAATTTTCTTTGTGTTGAAGTAAAGCCAACATTGGAAAAGCCAAACCATTGTTGCAAAATCTATGACGCAGTTTCATTCCCTAGAAGGGGAATTGGCTAACTGAATCATTGTCTATGGCCCATGATAATCATAGAAAATGCTCATCTCAATGAAGACAATACAGCAAAACCCTTCTGACCTAGGTTAAAAGCTGGAATTTAATAACATTTAAAAATTGTATCTTCTGGAAGGGCTCAGCAGCTCACACTTGTAATCCAAGCACTTTGAGAGGCTGAGGAGGGCAGATCTCTGAGGTCACGAGTTCGTGACCAGCCTGGCCAACATGACAAAACCCCATCTCTACTAACAATACAAAAATTAGCTGGACATGGTGGTGCACATCTGTAATCTCAGCTACTCAGGATGCTGAAGCAGAATAGCTTGAATCCAGGAGGTGGAGGTTGCAGTGAGTGGAGGTCATGTCACTGCACTCCAGCCTGGGTGACAGAGCGAGACTCCGTGTCAAAAAAAAAAATGTATCTTCACACTTAAATAAGAACATTTAAATATTAATATTACTATTTGGGACTAGAAACAGACTCGTGCAGTTACTCCCCACCCTCATTGTTGTTCCTAATTTTACTCATTCAGCCTCTGATCATGTTTTCCATTTCTAAGAACTTATACTGTCAAGATAAATGTTGTTTGCATACCCTTTCTTCCTGCATTACATAGAAAATGACAAATAACATATTGTAATCTGTAGAATTATAACAGATTTTTATGTGAAAAGATTTAATCATGAACTAAATAGACCAAATTTTACTTATTATCTCAAGGTCATATTCATTTATGTTTACAAAATATAGTTGAATTTGTAGTTAAAAGTAATATTTTAAAGAGCCTTATCAAGACTCAGATCCATAAGACCAGAAAGTATTAATCACTGTGAACAGAACAAATTTGATTTTGTCATAGGGCAAATGAAAAGAAGAACATCAGTGGGATTCACAGAAATTAAACATCAGGCATTGTTCCTTTTGTTTTGTTGTTTATCATATGCCCAGAAATAGTCCCAAGTCTAATAAAACCACTTCATTCTAATTTCTTAAGTCAGCTAGAAGAAGTTATGATAAGAGGAATAATTCCCTACTGGCAATTAGAATCAGCACTGGGACAGTGAAGGTCTCATTTAAATAGAAACTAATGATTAGAGAGATTATTAAAGGGCATCCTCTTATTTTAAGATAAACCTCAGTCTCTTTGCCTAACATAGCAAAACAGGTTTGGAACAGGAATATATCTCAGGATCAACAATGCTGTGGCAACTTTGAGCATGACCTGCATTAGCTGAATGGATTCCTCTCCTTGTAAAGATAAACTACTAGAGGAAGAAAAGTATAAAATAATAGTACCAATTAATGTTATCATTGAACTTTATTTTTCCTTTTGAGAACTTTTTTTGAATATATTCTCCTTCCAAATATATATAGTTTGCTTTAAAAATGTTATGAAAGAACTTGGTTAGAAAGGGCTTTATATTTACTATTTCTTTAATGGTCCATACCAATGCAAATACCCTGTAAACATCAATACTTTACTCAATATTAAACACTGCCTCTTTATCATTAAAAATGTATATTTGTAGATAAATATGTATAGCATTTATGGCCCTATATATCAAATTCTTCAAAATAAGTGCATCTGAGAAGAAGCAAGTTTTGATTGATTTCCAATTATACAATGCCTTCTGAATTCTATGGAACATTAAGAGACATTGTTATCCTAAAGAACGAATACTAAACATAAAATATCCTTTGTATATTAAGTGCCTGTCACTTGGCATATGAAAAATAAACATACATTAATCTAATGTTACAAATGTACGATTTAGAAAACAATGATAAACAAATATGAGGAAATCTACAGAAATATGAATTTAAAAATTAAATGTTGAATATGCCTCAGAGAATAGAATTATGTCACAGAAATTATCAGAATATGGTTACTAACTGCAAAATAGGGAAAATGAAGAAGGTCAATATTTGATGTTGGAGATCTCCTCTTACTATCTATTGCTCCCAAGTTTACCCCATCCTCCCCTTCCCAGTAGGCAACATAGGACAAAGGCTAGGGCTATGGAGCCATCCATAGATCAAGAAAGAAGAGATTTTCCAGATTTGATGCCCAGCCCAATAACCAAGAAAGCTGTATATTTATCTCATCTTTCTTATCAACTTTAAATCTTTGCTCAAATCTCAAATTCTCAATGAGATCGTCATGAATACTGTATACTGTGGTTTAACCTGCTCCTTCTAGCTTTTTCTCCTTCTCTGTCTCTATCTCCAAGGTCTGTGTTGCCATCAAACTATTTTCTAAGTTACTGATTTGTTTATTGCACTTATTGTGCATTATATTTTCTAGCCATTAGGATGAAAGCTTCATCCTAATTTACCTTCATCTTTTGGTTACTCATGTATCTACATATAGCCACTCAACAAATATTTGTTGAATGAATGCATATTCTCAAGAATCTCAATATTAAACAAAGGCTTCCTTGAGCATAAAAGAAAGCTTATGGTGGCTTTCTTATGGTGGCTTAGATTTTTCTGAAGCCCTTCCCTAAGAAGCCCTACTAAAAATTCTGGATAAAATATTTAAAACCATATGAAGTGGCAGAACAGCAACAGAATTTCTCAAAAATCATGAATAAAAGGAAAGTGTACAGTTAGATCTGTCTGGGGGTTGGTAAGAAAGCCCTAAAGGCAGTAGCAAAGTATGTGTGAAAGATCAAATGTGGAAATCCTCCTACATAAGCCCCCAAAGAGCGATACTTTCAGTGGGTGAACTGGAAAAAGCTCACCTCAGAGAAAGAGTTCTTGGAGATATTTTCCTCTCTTGGTCCTGGCTCTGAATTAAATGCAAAAAGAAAAAGGTAACAAGTCTCTGAAAATTTCTCACCATAAGCTTATAATATTGGGGCTAGAATCCACACCACCTGTGAGGCAATAAAATCCTTT